GCAGAGGCCTCCAGTCCTGATGTCCACCAACCAGGAGGTAGTACCATGAGCAGGCTGAGCTGAGGCTTCATGTAGGGCCCAGGGCTTCCTGGGAATCAGGGACTCTGGCCTTTTTCTTGGGAGCCCCCAGGTGGCCCAAACAGTTAACACTAGGTTCAAATCCACCGGAAGCCCCTTAGAAGAAAGGCCTGGCAGTAGACTTCCGAAAAGCCAGCCACTGCAAACCTGTGACGTTCTGATCAAAGGGGGAGAAAAATACAGCACAGGGTTTCAAGTCCCCATTGAATCCAGACCTGCAGAGGCCAGAGGAACCCCTGAGACGAGCTTTAAACCAGAAGTAGTTCCTAAATTCTTCTTCACATGAGATGGTAGTTCAGCTTGAACAGGGATGGTCTCATGGGAGATCTCAGGGACAGCCGAAGCTGGAAGGGTTAGACGGGACTCTGGGGGCAGTGAGTTTAGGCTGACAGAAGTGGGAGCAGCTGGGAAAAGGGGGCTGAGATGGTCGCCCAGCTGACAAAGGTTATCCGTGCCACCCTCCGATTCCACGTGGTCTGGGTTTCTCCTTACAGAACGACCCAGACAAAGAGTACAACATGCCCAAGGACGGCACAGTGCACGAGCTCACGAGCAACGTAGGTGCTGCCTGCCGTGGGGGCCTGAGAGGCCAGGCCCACCCCCGTGCTTTCCTGAGGGGCTGCTGGCAGGACAGATGGGCAGCGTTGGCGGTCTCACCCCCTGAGTGCTGGGGCTGTGCCCCTAGGAGGTTCTCAGACCGCCCGGCCCTGCCTCCTTTCTCCCATTAGGCCATCCTCTTCCTGCAGCAGCTTCTGGATTTCCAGGAGACAGCAGGTGCCATGCTGGCCTCTCAAGGTACTGGGTGCCTCCCAGCCGGCCCCCACTCTCCTTCTGGTCTGGGTGGGGCCATGGACACCAGGGCCTTCCCCTCTGCTCCTCCCTGGTGGAGCAGGGCTGAGAGGTGGCTCTGTGACCCCGACCCTCCCTCCTGGGACCACCCCCTCCGTACCTCTCCACTTTCTCTCCAGCTCGCCTGCTCTAATGAGTCTCACGCAGCTGACCCGCTCGGTGGGTGGATGGGTGGGTGGCATCTCCAGGCTCACCTGAGGCCTTCCCTTGAGCGCCATCCCCTGGCTCAGGAGTTCGCATGGAAATTGGAGCATATTTCTGGATCCTTCCAGCCTGTTGAGACCCTGGGCCTTTTTCACAGGACTGATGGGCCTCCACAGGCTGGGGCTGGGGCTGGGCGTGCCCTCCCTGTGCCAGCCGGCTGCCCCGGGGTGAGGGCTGCATGAGGCGGGATGGCACGACCCTTTCTAACCTGTTTTTGCACTTTGCACCTTTCTCCCTTCTTGTCTCTCTCTCCGTCCCCTCTGTGCGCTCTGCCTCTCACTGCGTAGTTCTTGGGGACACATACAATATTCCTTTAGACCCCCGAGGTAAGCAGGGGGGTGCTGTGTCCCCTCTCCCTCTGAAGCCCCATTGGTGAGGTTTCCTGGGGACACACTCAGACCTGGGCCTGCTGGGAAGCGGGGGTCACAGGGGATGTTGGTTCTTACAGGGTGCCCTTGACCCTCACGGTGTCCCTCACAGCCACTTCCTTCTCTGAGCATGCAGCACGCAGCCCCTCCCTCACGTTCCAGCCCCCATGCTTCCCCTCCCCTTAGGCAGTGCACTCCCCGAGTGGAGGGGCTGTGGGAAGTGGGGGGGGAGGTGAGCCTGCCCTGAGGACCCATGCTGACAAGGGCGACTCTAAGACCTCCAGCACCCAGCACAGACCGAGGCTCAGGTGGGCAGAGGGTGCTACCACCCACTCCTGTCCTGCCAGCCTTCCGAGGGTCAAGGGTCAGATCCTTAAGCACCCCACCCCATCATGCAGGGGGGTTGCCTGGACCCCCGAAGCAGCCCACGGGCATAGGGCCGTAGGACAAGAAGGGCTTGTCCCTTGTGGAATGCCAGCCTAGCCCGCAGAGCTTTCCATGCCGCCTGCCTGGGGAAAGTCTCCTCATTTCTCCCTGGTGGTGAGGGGGTGAGAGCGTCTGGTCCACTTCTGCAGCCTGTGACCAGGCCCCCCTCCCACAGAGACCAGCTCCTCAGCCACCAGCTACAGCTCCGAGTTCAGCAAGCGGCTCCTGAGTACCTACATCTGTGAGTGTCCCCTCCGCTCCCGCTCCCAGCCTCCTTGCCCTCTGCACGCTGCTCCAGGCCTCCCAGCCCAACCTCTAGATGAGGGGCCAGCAGCAGTCCCTTGCGAGTCTGGGGTGGGCTCTCGGGGTCAGACTGGCATGTGGGCGTGGCATCGTCTCCCCGGTGTAGGTAAAGTCCTGGGCAACCTGCAGTTGAACTTGCTGAGCAAGTCCAAGGTGTACGAGGACCCGGCTCTGAGCGCCATCTTCCTACACAACAACTACAACTACATCCTCAAGTCCCTGGAGAAGTGAGTGCCTGCGGCCCCCCACGTGGTCCCTGGGAGCAGCCAGCACCGGCCTCCTGGAGCGCCTGCGCGTTCGGGGCGTGATGTGGTCTGGAGGCCCCGCCACAGGCGTCCTGACCCGGTGCTGCCTCGGCCCGCTGCCCCCGCCCCAGGTCGGAGCTGATCCAGCTGGTGGCCGTGACCCAGAAGACGGCCGAGCGCTCCTACCGAGAACACATCGAGCAGCAGATCCAGACGTACCAGCGCAGGTCAGCCGCGCCGCCCCCCCTGCCCCGCACCCGGCTCCGTCCCGGGGGCCCAACCGGAAGTGGGATGCTGAGGGGGAACTTCCGGCCGTGTACCTTTTACCCAGTTCAGGGGCCCCTCTCCCCTCGGCTCCCTTGTGCGCTACCTCCTCTGACGTCACGGTCACTTGCTAAGGCTCACTGAGTGGCTGGCCTGTCAGATTCTAGTGACGCTTAGGAAGGTCCCAAAAGCCATCCACCCACAATTCACTGAGGGTGCCCTGGTAGCACAACGGTTGAGCACCCGGTTGCCGATCAAAGGTGGGCGGTTCGGACCCCCCAGCGGCTGCTCAGGAAAAGACGTGGGACTGGGTTCCCGAGAGCACCCAGCCAAGGAGCCCCAGGGGCAGTGCTGCTTTGTCCCTCGGGCCACTAGGTGTCCATCCGAGGTGACTGGGGGACAGTACCAACATAGTCACTTTAGGTCTGCTTCTGCTTCCTAGTGTGCTCCTGGCTCCCCCTTCTCTCCGTGGCAGTCTCTCTGCCCAAGACGCTCTCCCTCTGTCCTTGGCTGCCTCTGCCCCTTCCATCGCACCCTCCACCCGCACCTGCGTCGGCACATCTGTGAAGTGCGGGCCGGGGCGGTGCAGCTCACTGAAGGCTGTTTCCCCGCCAGCAGCGCCCACAGGGAAAGCTCTGCTGTGCTTGCCTTACTTCTGTCCAGCTAGGTCCCACCCCTACCCCTACCCACGTCACTCAGGAATAAGTAACGAAGGGTTAGGCAGGTGCTGGCTGGTCTGCCCTGACGGATGCCCTCTCTCTGCCCGGCAGCTGGCTAAAGGTGACTGACTATATCACGGAGAAGAATCTCCCCGTGTTCCAGCCCGGAGTCAAGGTGGGCAGGGTGCTTGGCGAAGGAAGGCAGGGACACAGGGGTGTCTGGGGGCTGGCTGCAGGTGACAGGGAGGGTGTGGATCTGGGAGGACAGCCTGCTGCCCGCTGCCCTCTATCCTCAGCTCCGGGACAAGGAGCGGCAGGTGATCAAGGAGCGCTTTAAGGTGAGCCAGGCCCCTTCCCTTCATTCCCCTCCCCTCCCCTCCCTGAGACTGCAGCAGGGGCAGCAGAGACCCAGCCTGAGTGTCTGTGTGTCCCCTCCGTCCGTCTGTCGGGTGGCAGGGCTTCAACGATGGCCTTGAAGAGCTCTGCAAGACCCAGAAGGCCTGGGCCGTGCCGGACACGGAGCAGAGGGACAGGATCCGCCAGGCACAGAAGAGCATCGTCAAGGAGAGCTACGGGGCCTTCCTGCACAGGTCAGGCCCCCCCCCCACCTTCCGCAGGAGCGATGAGAGGGTGGGTGCAGAGCACCTGAGCCCAGGATAAGGATGCCACTTGGGAACAGGGTGCACTGGGGGCCTTTCTCCTGACGTCAGTACCCACACAGGTACAGCAGTGTGCCCTTCACCAAGAACCCTGAGAAGTACATCAAATACCGTGTGGAGCAGGTGGGCGACATGATCGACCGCCTCTTTGACACCTCCGCCTGAGCCTGCCGGTGCCACGGACTCCCAGTGTCATTGGACCCATAAACCAGTCTTAACTTGCCTCGGCCGGGGGAGTTTGAAGTCCTTTGGGAACAGGGCGCTTTCCTGACCGGCCTCATCAGGCGTCCGGCCCATGAGCCCTCTAGCCCCGGGTCCAATCCCTCCCTGGACCCTCCCCAGACCCATCACACCTGTGGAGTCATGGGGTGGCTTCTGAGCCCGGAGAGGGGAGAAGGAAGATAAGCCTGGGGCCCAGCGAGGGCAGGAGAGCCCCACTACATCCACTCAGAGCCGCCAGCCAGACCGAGATCCCGCTTCTTCCCAGCAACGCGGGGTGACGCCCAGAGAAGCAGGCCAGACAGACAGACGACCAGCTGCCGAAGGAGTGGGCGCAGTCCTGAAGGCTGGGGATGGTCCCCCAGGGGTGCCCCTGATGGCCGGGTGTGTGCTCTCTCGAGCCTCATCTCCTGTCCCCGGTGCCTGTGCCTCCTGACCTGGGCCATGCAACAGTGGTGGCAGAGGAAGCATTGGGCCCCATGGATGGCAGTGGTGGAAAGTGGGGGCAGGCCGGATTAGGGACGAGGCAAGCCCCTTCCCCCTCAGCTGAGAGTGAAGAGCTGAGTCGGACACACGTGCTCTGGGGAAGGTTTATTAGCCCTGATGCTGGGGTACTGACAGAAGGGAGGCTGGGATGCTGGGATCAGGGAGGAGAGGAGGGGAGCCTGTCCCCCAGCCAGGCCCACCACACCGATCTTCAGGCCTATAGCCTGACCCTGGGGCCCTCTCGGTTACAGCCGGGGCTGCCCGCCATGGGGCGCAGCCTTACCAGGGGCAGGGTCTGACTTGCATACCACCCACATCCAGATGCCAGCAAAAAGGGCCTGGCTGCATACCACCCCGACCACATACACCCGAAAGAAGATGCTGTCGGCCACCTCAGCCCGGCTGCGTCCTGTTCCCTTTCCTTCTCCTCCTCTCCCTTCTCGGGGGGCTCCTGCTGGAGAGAGGGGACAGCATTGACTTTCCTGGCGCCCTTGGACAAGACAGCCTGGCCCGGGGGCACCTTATAACCAGTGCACCCCACAACTCCACTGAAGCCCTATTGGATCACCAACTGAATGACAGGCCCCTCCGTGGAGGAGCCCCCACCCGCCCCAAGGCTCCGCACAGCATGCAGGAATCTGGGGGAGACCCCATTCTCCCTCAGGAAGGCCAGCATGCATGCGGGAACCTCTCAACCCAAGCTGGTGACCCCAAGCCCCTCAGTGCTCAGGCTGCCCACACCACCCTACCCAGCCTGTTCCCAGACCTCATCCAGAACCCAAAGGAAGGACCCCAGCCCCAAGCCACGCCCTACCTTGATCTTGAGGAGGCCCTGAGTCCCCATGATCTCTGTGCTCCTCTCCCCTTGGGGCAGGGCTGGGGCTACCTCTGGCCCCCTGTCTGTCATGGGCCCACAGCCCGGCCAACAGCACAGTCTCCATGGTGCTGAGAATCAGCAGCAACAGCAGGACCGTGAAGTAGTAGACTGGGGGCAAGGAGGAGGAGGAGGTCAGGGCCCAGGCCCGGGGGCAGGGAGGATGTGGGGGGAAGGGCGCTGCCTGCCCTCGGGGCTTACTGAGCAGCGGGTTGCAGGATGAGGAGCTGGGCAGCGCCTGCACCAGGGACGAGTGGAAGACCAGGTAGCCCAGTAGCAGGGTCATCTTATAGCCCAGGCGCTCAGCAGCCGAGAGGGGCAGCAGGCCCCCACACACGTCAGCCAGCAGCAGCGCCTCCCCAGGGACCAGCAGAGAGAGGACGGCCTTCAGCGCTGTGTTCTGCAGGCTCAGCTGGAAGGCAGGTGGAGGAGGTGGTGGCCAGTGCAGGCCCCGGGCCCATGCCCTCCCTCACCCCATCAGCCGCCTCCCCACTCACTGTCACCCGAAAGCAAGGCACCAGCTGCTGGGGTGGGATTTGAGTCTTCAGGTCCTGAAGGACATATTCCCGTTTAACACTCACGACCTCGTTGACTGCTTGAGCCTGGAACTCCAGCTCCATCACTGGACGGGGGGAGGGCAGTTTAGAAGAGCTCCTGTGGCCCTTGGGGCTGGGGCAAGGGCAGACTGGAGTCCTGGGTGATGGGCACACCCACAAGCTGCAGGCACGGGGACCACTTACAAATGGAGCTGTAACCAGGCAGCCTCCCCTGACCTTGCTTTGCCTACAACTGGGCAAAGGGCCTTATCAGATTCCCAGGTGAAGCTACATTGTGCGAATAAACGCATTCAGCATCTCACTGAGGGGTGGACACAGACACATCCGGACACCACCTCACGCCTGCATGTCGGTATTTGTGGCCCTCCACCGTGCTCTAGAAGGATGGGACGTCTCTGTCAAGCTGTGGGATGGTCACTGGGCAGCTGCACCTTCGGGGCGTGTCCAGGAGAGGGCGCAGCAACCTGAGTCCCTAGCTAGCCGCCTTTTCTACCGATCTGTGGATGGTCTAGGCTGGGGGTGGCGGAGGAAGAGGCCAGATGGGATCTGAGGCTTGTGGAGCCGCCACAGAACCACGTCTTCAGGGAGAAGCGGGCTCCTGGGCTACCGCTGAGCGCCGGACTACTTCGTGCGGGGGAAGGTGGAGGCCGAGAAGCAAGTTCTCCCTACGATCTGCCGCCCCCTAAAGCTCGGGTGGCCCCAGGCTCCCCTGCCCTCCCCTGGTCCCCCATGGGCACCGGAGTTGCTTAGCGCGTAGAAGCTGAGGCTGCAGTCGCTCAGGTCCCGGGGAAATCGCAGGAGCTCAAAGTCGCAGTTGGTCTCCGTGGTCAGGGCCAGGTAGAGCTCTACGTTGCCGTCCGGGGCCACGCGCGCCCGCGGGCTCTGGTCCCGCCAGTCTACCCAGAGCCTGTGGACAGAGGCGCAGGCCTCGCCGTCAGCGGGTTCGGGGAGAAGAGAGGGCACCATGAGGCTGCGGTGGCCCATAAGTAGCTGGGGACCGGGACGAAGAGGGGGCAGTGCCCTCTCCTGGCTTACGCTTCCTGGATGGTGAGTCCTGGGGTCCAGATTGAGTCCCAGGGTAGCGTGAACGCGCGTCGCGGGTGCACAGTCTCGTTCCAAGCCAGGCGGGGGTCCAGCCAGGACTGGGGACACAGGGCACTTTGAGGCAACCACCCTAGGCAGGTGCCCCCTCTGGAGCCACCCTCCAGAGTGCAGTGGGGTGTCTCCCCGCCCCTTCCCCATGGGCGCTCACCATTCGAAGCAGCAGCACAGAGGACACGGTGTACCGCAGGATGTCCTAGGAGAGGGTGGCAGTGGGTCACATCAGGGGTGGGTGCTGAGCCTAGAGGAAGCGACTGGGGTCGGCACCCACCCCAGCACTGTCAGGCCCGCCCGCTCCAGCCGCTGCGCACTCACCACGTTGAAGACGTTGGACACAAACACCTCCACAGCCACCAACAGGGGTGCACTCCCGTTTCGTGGAATCTGGAGAGGTTCCTGGGACGCCCCAAGCGATTCCAGACCCAGGAAGGAAGGCCAGGACGCAGGATGGAGGGAGCGCTCAGCTCCCATAGCTTTGACCTCGGCTCTCCACCCACCGGCTGCAGGCACGCGGAGGCCGAGCCCCTGAAGCAACAGCCCAGCCACTAGCAGCCCCAGGAAAACCCGATGGTGCAGGGGCCACTGGGCCATGTCCAAGACTGCACCCACGGGACTGGCAGTGACAGCTGGGTGTAAGCGTGGTTTCTTCCCCCAGTCCCTTCTCTGGGGTCTGGACAGTGGGTTGGTGAGTAGACAGGGTTGTGGGAGGCAGCTGATGTGTGCAGAGACCCTGGAGCCTTGAACTTGACATCCTACCCCCACCTTCGTTCAGCAAACACCGGAAGACAAAGCCCAGCACCGCCCCACCTATCCTGCACCTGCTCTGGTTTCCTTGTCTCTGTCCCGCTCTGTTTCCACCACCTGGGACGGCTCACATCCAAGTGCAGGACCCCCACCCCCTGCCCCTCCCCCACTGGGTCCCTCCAGCCAGGACTAGGTGCCTCAGGCCAGTTTATCAGTTGCTGGCAGTCTCAGAGGTAGGTGAGTCGAATTGCTCTTGCCCTGTGATGGCAGCAAATTCGAGTCTCCCTCTCTCCTTAAACATTGAACTAGGGGAGGGAGTGGGGAGAAAAGAGGAGCTGATACCAAGGGCTCAAGTCGAAAGAAAATGTTTTGAAAAGGATGCTTGTAACGTACAAATGTGTTTGATACAATTGATGTATGGATTGTTTCAGGGGCTGTAAGAGCCCCCAATAAAATGTCGACAAAGAAAAAGGGCAACAAAACCCTGGACGGTTTTCATATGGGGCAAATCAGTGAGGCAGGGAGAGGCCGTCTCCTGCTCACTGCCCCGCTGGCAGCCCTAAACCAGCAGTGCCTGGAAGCTGCTGCGGAAAGCGCGCCTCCGGCCAGGGCAAAGGTTTTCTCGGACTGGCCCCAAAGGAAGGAAACAATTCCCCACGCCCCCTTCCAAGGCTGATCTGGCTCCAACACTCCAAGGAAAAGGGTCCCAGGGAACAGGAAGCAGGTGAGGACTAAGGAAATGAGGAGCGACTTCATTGAGCGCGTGCTGAACGCCACGTGCCACACTCCCCAGCACCAGAGGTGTTGCTGCCTTCAAGGGGGGGCCCCCTGCGCCCACCATCGAAATCCCCTCTGTGAAGACCCAGAGGCTGCTTCCCAAGATTTCAAGGCAGTGACACATACGACCACCAGCAGGAAAGGGTTGGGCGTTTTATTAGCAGGTGAAACTCCCATTAGCCCCCAAGTCCCCCCACCTCCCCGGCAAGTGCCTCGGGTCCTATAACTGTTAGCACAACACTGGGATCCTTTGGGTCCCGCCAGGCCCGGCAGGGGCCAGGGCTGGAGACCAGGCCCCTGGGAAGCGCCGGGGCGAGGGGCACGGCCGCCTCGCTCACGTGGGTCACGTCGGTGGACTCCAGCACGCTGCAGCTGTAGGGGCCAGGCGCGGGGACGCACGCCCGGCAGGAGGTGCTGCGGGGGGCGCGGCGCAGCAGGCCCGCGCAGATCTGGCGGAAGCCCTTGCGGAAGTGCCTGGAGACAAGCGCATAAACGATGGGGTTGACGCAGGAATTGGCGTAGGAGACCAGGTGCGAGAGGATGCGCAGCGCGTAGGTGGCGGGCGTGAGCGGGAAGCGGCCGAACCAGACGCAGAGGATGAGCGCGTGGTGGGGCATCCAGCAGAGGCAGAAAAGCGCGGCCACGAGGACGATCATGCGCGTCACCCTGCGCTTGGCGCGCCCGGCGCCCGAGCCGGCGGGCACCGGGTCCACTGCGCGCCAGAGGTAGCACAGGGTGCGCGCGTAGGTCAGGCCGAGCACCAGCACCGGCAGCAGGTAGCTGAAGACGAAGGTGCAGAGGTCCAAGGCGCGCCGGCGGGGCGCGCTCCACGCCGGGTGGCAGACGGTCAGGTTGGCCAATCGTGACTGGCGATAGTAGCTCAGATAGGGCCCGGAGAAGATCAGCGACAGCCCCCAGATGAGCCCGATGGCCACCAGCGCGTTCCGGGGCGTGCGCAGCTCGCGCGAGTGCAGGGGGTAGCGGATGGCCAGGTACCTGTAAGTCAAGCCCGGAGGGAGACGTTGGCTGAGCAAGGGCTTTGGCGCAGGCGGGACAGGGACCCGCTGCACCTCAGGTCCCAACCCCCTCTGGAGGACGGTCCTCAGTTCATGGCCACACAGCGC